CGCTCCAGCGCCCTCGATGCTTGATCTCCAGCGGGGTCCTCAGATCGCCCCTCCTGTCCTCGGACGGCCCGCAGTGCCTCATTTGTGACAGGGCGCACAGCTTCTGCGTGCCGAGGTGGAGCTGGGCCGCGCGGAACAGCGCGGCGAACCAGATCATCGTGAAGGGGGAGATCCGCTGGTTGGTCGCGAGCCTCGCGGCCGCCAGCAACCCTTCAACCTCGGATGGTCGATCAGCAGGCTCTCGATCGTCGCCATGGTCTTCGAGGTCTGGCCTCTCTCCTCTGGGTGGAGGTTGAATGCGACGAACGTCGAGGCGGGGGCCAGCGGCGCCGCCGCGTCCGGCGCCTGCAGGTTCAGCCCCTTCGAGGGCCTCAGCTAGCACGCGAAGCAGAGCACCGCCAGCAGCGCCGCCAACGGCTCGCCCCAGTCGACCATCACTTGCGCGAACAGCCGAAAGACGCCAGAGAACGAAGCTGGTGCCTCTGGGCCACCACCGAGACCCTACTTCAAGTACAATGATGTTTTCGGCCTTCAGGAACCGAGCCGCGAAATCGAGCTGCCAACCCTTGGGGTCCAAGAGCTCCTGAGGTATCTCGACGAAGTTGGGGTTCTCGCCCCAGGCCTCTGGAGTCTCGCCGGGGTCCACGAGCGTGACAATGCGGATTTTTCTGAGAATGTCCGCGCCTAGCAGCGAGTGGCCCCGAGCCCTGATAGCGGGGGTCCCAGCCTTGAACCTAGACTCCTCCTGGAGGCCCCCGATCGACTTGACGACGTCCGAGCCGAGCGCCCGCGAGCATACAGCGTGCCCAGAGAGGCAGGCGTCGGACGATGTGACCTTCGGGCACCACGGTCTATCGAGCCGCGCCTGTTCAAAACGGCAGCTGCGCGAGGAACCATCTGATCCCCCTGCGCAGCGAACCCCAGACACGGCAGCGGCTGACGGCGCGGGCCGAGATGAAGAAGTAGACGCGATGGAAAATAGCAAACGTTTCACGACGTAGCATTCACATGTGAACGCAGTGACCCGCGATCCGCTCCAAAGCTTCGCCGCAGACGCGGGGCCGCCGAAGGAGCCGGGGCCCTGCGGCCCTGAGCAACTCCAGCTTGCGGCCCGTGGCGGCGGCAAGCCTCTCTCGGCCCATGACCTTATGGCCCACGGAGGGCCCGTAGATCTCGTGCGCCACGAAGCCGAAGCGCAGGAAGTGGTCGACCAGCTCGTCCCGCAGGGCCCCGGCACGCTGCGCGTCGGAGCCCGCGACGTTCAAATTGTCGGCGTAGGCGAGCAGCGCCGGCTTGCCATCCGACATGTCGGGGGCGGGCCGCTTGTCACTCAAGGTGCGATCCACAGTGGCGGCCCTGCTGCACGTGGACTGGTGGTGGACCACGCGCTGGGCAACCCGCGTCGCCTAGCTCCAGACCATCGGGGCCACCGCGAGGCAGCGCGGCACAGGCTGCCCTCGGGCAGCGACGCGATGTCGGGCGGGGGCCTGCGCGTGGTCCTCAGCGAGGACACGTCGACCGCGGGGGGGGGCAAAGTGCTCGGACAGCTCCTCCGCGATCGCGAGGTGGTAGAAGTAGTTCGCCAGGTCCGCCTGCGCGGTGTAGACCTCCTCGTCCTGCCCGGACTCGAGGTCCGCCAGCTTGCCCCCCAACGACATGTTCATCTTCGGGCACCTCGCGAACCTCGCGTTGACTGCCCTACAGTCCCACACGGTGCGCAACTGCCCAGATTTCTTCCGATGAGATCCTGAGCGTTGGTCGAGTACCTCAGCATGTTGGCGCGGTCCAGCCGGGCCACGAAGTCTGCGTACTTGCCAGGGTCCGAGGCTGGCGTCGGGCCCATCGGGGCCTCGCTCTCGCACCGCTGACCGAACTCATCCTCAGACAACATCATGCGCGACCGAAATTCCCGAAGGCAGCGGGCCCCCTCGGGGTCGAGAACATCAAGTGCGGCGGGGGGCTGCTCCAACTCCT